GCCAAGATCATGGATGAGATAGAGGAATGCAACGAAGAAATGAGAAATGATATCAATCCACTGAAAGAACAAATGAGCCAGAAAGATAATATGTTGTGTTTTCTTATGTGCTATATATATAGGTATTTTCTTTTCTCACCGTACAACTTGTGGATGTTTTAGGTGAGGAAGATCCGGGGTATGAGTGGCATCTAGAATGTCAACAGTTGATTTATGAATATACTATGATATTGTGACATCGGGACAGAAGATTTCTAGGACATGAATTGTATTTGTATATGGAGTTGAACCTATTATTTTGAAAACATTTTGTAACCTCTTATGTTTTATTTTCCAAGTTTCATTTTCAGAATATTTTGGATATTGAAGAATGTTTCTAAAGGTTTTTATGTAAACCCTTTTACCTATGTAATAAAAAAATGTAGAAAAATTCATCTGGGTATTCCGGGACATCCACAATCATGTCTTGTTGAACAACCCAGAAGCCAGTGGCAGTAACAGGAGAGGAAAAGTGAGAAAACACTTGGGAAAAGAATAATTTGCATGAAATTATAAGTAATAGTAGAATAAGAAAATGAAAATATGTACCTAGGGTGTGTGAGTAATGTGTGAGAGAAGAGACAGAGTTGAGAGTGCTGAGGTAAGATTCACCTCGGGGGTTGGAATTTATAGGCAACAGAAGATTACATAAATTTGAGTTTGATGTGTGTTGTTTGGCAATTGCCATAGCATTACATTTACATAACTTGTTCAACCAATTAGCCCATGGATTCTGGACGGAATTACGACACAGTCAGTCGGTTATTCATCACAATGCAACCTGCCTACATTTCCTTATCCGTCATTTTCAATAAATAAATACCCATACGAAATTTTAATGTTCGAGATAATGTATTTATTATTTTCCGATTCCTCTGTTATCAATTAACATGTAGTTGGTATCTCAGGATCTACTAAAATGAGAGCCTAAATTCTCATGTTTTTAACTATTCTATTTTTTTAATTTAATTATTAGACTAACTCAAGTAGTTCATATAAATATAGAAAGTATATATATAGAAAGTTTTCTACTGAAAATAAAAATAATTTTTAGTAAAGAAGTTTTTTCAAGTATTTCTAAAACTGTATCCAAATACATTTTTAGTATGTTTGGATCTATCAATTAGTATTATTTTTTTGTTCTAATTGTAAGTAATAAATTAGAGTTTTCTTTGGTCCTTACTATAAATAATAATTATTAATTTTAAAGTTATTTAAACTTAAATTTCTTTCGTACCATTCATTTATTGTTAACTTTACTTTATATGCATTTTCTTGTAACTAATATTAAATATAACAATAATTTAAAATGAAGAATATGTTTGGAATAAAACTTGAATTTACGATGAAATTGATTAAAAGTAACCATATTAATTATTACTTTTTTGCCTTGATGATTTATCTTTATTACTTATAATTAAGACTAGAGGTGGTATCAAAGTCTGACATGGTAGATAGATAACATTATCTCTAAGTATATGATTAATAACTTGATTTTGGATCACTGTATACGAAAAAATATTTGTTGAGAGATGTTAAAGAGGGCTAACTCGACTCACACGAGTTAGCTCATCATAGATTAGTATTTTAAACGAGTCAACTCAACCTAACTCGGTTTTTAGTGAGTTAGAAAGATTTCAACTCACCATGGGTTGATGGGTTAAGTGGATTACCTCACTAGATTTTTTTAAAATTAAAAAAGTTAACAGAAAAAAAAACTTTAATTACATGTTCCTATTTTTAATAAATAAAATAAAGAATTATAATTTTTTATATCAAGAAATCAAGTCTATCATTGATTTAAATACAAATATATAGGAAAATATCAATCAAAATTTCAAATAACAACTACATAATATTAAAACCATTGTTTTAAAAACCAGACCGGTCATCAAGCTGACTAGGATACTAAATTAGTGGGTCAAAGGTTGAACTAGTGAGTCACTAATTGAACTGCATGACCCAGATCGGAAGGGAGAAAAGGTTAAATGCAAATTTTCATTGCCAATTATACAAAAAAAGATGCTCGTCAGATTGAAAACCTGAAAAGGCGATCTAAGCAAAAGTTAGAGCGACCCGCTAGATTGAAAACTTGAAAGAGCAATCTAGGCAAAAATTAGGGTCAACAACAACAAAAAAAAGGGAGACTCACTAGATTGAAAACCTGAAAGGATAATCTAGGCGAAAGTTAGAGCAGCCCACTGGGTTGAAAACTCAAAAGAGAAATCTAGGCAAAAATTAGGTAAAAAAAAAGAGCTAGTTAGATTGAAAACCTGAAAAGGCGATCTAAGAAAATTCAGAGCGACATGCTAGGTTCAAAACCCGAAAAGCAATCTAGCAGATAAGTATCATGCCAATTTTTGAGGTATCAATTGGGGCAAGCCATGGCAAAGTTGAAAACTGGGGCAAAATGCATTGAATTATCCTCTAAAGTTTATTGGCGAGCAATCAACATTATTGAACTGTAGTATTAACATTGTTTATTTGGAAAGTGTCACTCACATAACAGTTACCTCCCATTGCTACCGTTGCATATATTTGTCATTCTTGTCATACAATGACTTCCTTTATAAACACATTTCTTTCTTGAATAAGATTATCCTATTCCCTTGTTGTCAATTCTCCTTGCATTTTTTGATAATATATTGAAAGGAAATGCATGTTACATGTTAAAAAATTCAAGACATTACAAATTATTTTTATGAGTTTTAAAAGTCATAGTATGCTTGATAATTTCTTAATGAATGTTACAAAGTGCAACCAACAGGATAACGCTGTTTCAACTCATAAGTGCTTACAACAACTTAAGGGTAACCCACAGGAAATAGCCAACTATCATTCAAGACAAAAGTATCCAAAGGCCTCACTCATCCATGATCCTTGGCTGTGTGACACGATGAGGAATTTCTAAAAAATAAAGCAAAAGCAAAAACAAAAACGGAAATAAACAAAAGTTTAAGTCTTGAAAGATGTGTCTCATATCATGCATTTTGCATCACATCACATTTCATTTGCATCTCTTGCTTCCTAGAACTTATGACGTAAAGTTTTTAGGCTAAGCACTTACTTCACATTTGACTTTCTATTTAAGTCCAGTACTTACCTGACACAAGTTACAATTTCTTTTGTATAAGCCCAGTATCTACCTGGCACAAGTTGCATTTTCTTTTGTATAAGCCCGGTATCTGCCTGGCACCAATTATATTTTTCTTTTAAAGCCCAGTATCTGTCTGGCACCAGTTATATCTTTCTTTTTAAGCCCAGTATCTGCCTGGCACTAGTTATGTTTTTCTTTTTAAGCCCAGTATCTGCCTGGCACTAGTTATATTTTTCTTTTAAAGCCCAGTATCTACTTTGCACAAGTTATATTTTTCTTTTTAAAGTCCAGTATCTTCCTGGCACCAGTTACATTTTTCTTTTGTATAAGTCCAGTACTTACCTGGCATAAGTTACAATTTATTTTGTATAAGCCCAGTATTTACCTGGCGCGATCCATCGACTAATTCAGCACAAGCATTTGGTCGATCCAATATCAACATTCAATCAACCCAGCACCAGCATTTGATTGAATTGGCTCCAACATTTGGTCGATACAGCACAAACATTTGACCACTCCAGCATTAGCATTTAGTCCATCAACATTCAATCAATCCAGCACCAGAATTTGATTGAATTGGCACCAGCATTTGATTGAATTGGCACCAACAATCGGTCAATACAGCACAAGCATTCGACCACTCCATCAAGCACAAATATTCGATCCATCAACATTCAATCAATCCAGCACCAGCATTTGATTGAATTGGCTCCAAAAATTGGTCAATACAGCACAAGCATTCGACCACTCCATCAAGCACAAGCATTCAACTACTTCAACATAAGCATTCGGTCGATCCAGCACAAGCATTCGACCACTCCATCAAACATTGACATTCGGTTGATCAAGCACAAGCATTCAACCACTTCAACATTGGCATTCGGTTGATCAAGCACAAGCATTCACCTATTTCAGCATAAGCATTCGGTTGATCAAGCATAAGCATTCAACCACTTCAGCATTAATATTCGGTTGATCCAACACCAGCACTTGATGATCCCAACACAACATTCTAGCATTGGACTAGCTTCAAGCAAAAGCATTGAATCTTTCAAAGACT